AAAAAAAAAAAAAAAAAAAAAAAAAAAAAAAAAAAAAAAAAACAACAAACAACAAAAAGGGAAGAAGGATTCATACAAGCTGTCATGCAGTTATCTAGATCAATCTGTGCCCATGACAGGGGGCAGAAGGCCGGTAGGCCCCCCAGCCCAAAAATGAGAAGGGAAAAGTGGAAGGGTAGGGAGAAGGGAGCTGGCCCCCAAAACAGGCAGTGGCACCGATCTAAGGAGGAAAACTTCATATCACTAAATGTGAATCACAGAATCACAGAATCACCCGGGTTGGAAGGGACCTCAAGGATCATGTAGTTCCAACCCCCCTGCCTAGCAGGGCCACCAAACATACACATTCAGATCAGGTTGCCCAGGACCCCGTCCAACCTGGCCTTGAACACGTCCAAGGACGGGGCATCCACAACCTCCCTGGGCAGCCCGTTCCAGGGCCTAACCACTCTCCTTGTAAAGAATTTCCCCCTAACATCCAACCTAAATCTTCCCTCCTTCAATATGATAAATATGATATCAGAATGCAAGATATAAGAAAATGTAATTGGAATTGAGGCTAAGAAACCAAATAAAATATGAGAGAGAGTGTCTGAAAATGAAAGCCTTACTTTGAACTGAAGGAACAAGAGAGAGAGATTCCGTGACTTCCTCCAGTGCCTTATCTTCCTCTTTGAACATGAAGTCCATTGGGTGTAGTTCTTTTCTCTCTTCTGAGAACCAGGTATCTGGAAAGTCGTCAGCCCCTGGAACTGAAGTATTAACTCTTTAATTCCCCATGCTTTGCACGATGTTATAATGTGGAATACAGATAACAAAATTATAAAACCATGACAATAGTGTATGTAAAATCTAATCAGCCCTTCAATGAAAGCTCAAATTATTTTAGGATGTAGTATGAGACTGAATAAAAAAGATCCTGACCTACTTCAACTATTTGTTGCTGAAATCAGATGTGAAATTTCCAGAGTTCTTTGGGAGTAGAATTAGCCCAATACTAAGTAGCTTTAACAGGTTAAGTACAAATGTACTTTTCCTCCTGTGTTTTTCATTTGCGTTATTCAAGCTGCTTTCCTGCCCTTTCTTTTCCTTAGGTTGATTTATATTGCTCAACTCACATCAGTTTAATGTTATTTCACTTAGACTACTTTTAAGTAAACTTCAGTATTTATCTACGTTTAAATTGATATTTAGATGTTAAGCATCAATATATCACTGTAAATAATGATGAATTTATTTTAAAGCTATCTTCAGCATCTTGGCTGTTCTCACATCTCCTTACTTAAAATGTAAATTAGAGTAATTAACAAGCAACTCTTACATGGAATTTGCTTGTGACTGGCAGGTGAACTTACATAAAATTGAATCAATCCTTTCTGTTCCCTAGGATTAGCTCATCATTGAATACACATTCTGCAAGAGAAACAGCTCAGTTTTAATTTAAAATATTTTTCTGTTAAATAGAATATGCTAAATAATTCTAACTAATCAGTCAGAAGACGAGCCCTCGAGTATGTATTCTGGCATGTATACATGTATACATTCTGGCATGCATACATGCCAGAGGGCATATATTCTGGCATGCATACATGCCAGAATGTATGTACATACTTGTATATATGTATATGTACATACATATATATATATATATGTAGCAGAAAGCAGCACAGTTCTAAATGGAAAAGGCATAAAGTGGGTTGAGGAAAACAGGAAAAGGAGTGTGTGTGTATATACATATATATATACACACACACACATATACACACACACACATATACACACACACTCGATTTGAGGCTGCCCAGATATAAATCTCAATTTAGAACACCTCAACCAATTTTACTGTTTTAATTTCAGGTTCATGTATCCCCAAATGCCTAAACTTTCACAGTTTGAATTTGACTTCATAAATGCAAATAGTCCTGTTAGAAAACGTTAGGCTGAATGCAAAGAAAGTCGTTTTTCTTTACAATTACAGTACGAGCCTCATAAGTGCACTATACTAATTTTCCCTTTATTATACAACTGCAGTTACAGAAAGTACTTCACAATCAGAATAACAATAATTTGGATGTGATTTTATGCAACAGCAGAATTGCAACTACAAGACGTTTTCCATTTAGTACTCTAAATAGTCTTAATTTTTGAGCCGCAACTAGAAGAACTACTATTTAAATACTATTTCCTAACCAAAACCCTGCAGCTACAAATCCCTTTTTTATCTAACATATTGCCACTGAAATTAAAGATTTAAGTGAATGGTTACTATGTTCTGTCAACTCCTGTTCATAGTAAATATAATCAAGCCACAGTGTGAGATTGATCACCCTTGATTTCACATCCAGAAAATAGAGTTCTGTAGCTCACAGAAGCATTGGTCCTTGTCAGAACTAACACTAGCATTATTCTGTGGATCTACTGGAAGAAAAAAAAAGTATTCCATAGACAAGAAATTTCCAGAATAAGTGTAAGATTTGAGATGAGTTAGGAAAAATGATTATCTGTAGAATACTCAAGTGAGACATTGTAAGATACATTCGAGTGAAATCCATAGGGACAGAGTGAAAATGGAGATGACTGTTCTAAGTAAAGCTTACATTGGAGTGACTCTACAGAAATGTAGTAGATAATGGTTGGTGGTTTTTTTTAGATTATTGCCCAATATTTATTTGTTGGTCTTACAAATATACTGGAAAAAAAATCTTGAATGTTGGAGAGGTTTTTAAAAGTATGAAGCTTTTGAGAACTGCGCTAAATCCTCTGACAGTTTGTGTACTTCTCTTTTGATTTTCATTTTAAATTTATTCTTTTCCAAGTCATGATGAAACTTCACATACCTATTTTTTGAACATGAGGCTAATGCAGTGCAAGAGAGAAGCCAACACAACTGAAGCTGAAGGACTCTTTGATAAGCCAGCTCAAAAAAAGAGGTAAAAGGCAGAAAATAAGGATACACAGAAGAGATGCTATTTGCATTCAAAATCTTCAAAACAGGTTGATATAAATGGTGCATGCTTTTTCACTGACCTTCTCCAAAGGGTGTAAATGGAGGAAAGATAGAACAGCTCATCTGCTATCTGAACAGTCTGTCTATATTATAAAAGAAAACATAGGAATCTACAGGAGTAGAGCTGTTGACAAAAGCAGATCTGTTAAAGCTTATGATGTCTAGTGTGAATGCCTTTTGTCATCTCAGTGCAAAGCATGTTATTATTGGTAGGTAAATCAAATAGAGATACACAATGAAAAAATGCTCACAGAGAATGGGACTGTGCTCTCCCACAGTCTTGCTGGGGTCCTGCAGTCACTCCTAGTCACGGGTCACTAATCAAAACTCAATCTTTTTGGTTACCTGAATATCTGATAACCCATGTATTATCTAAACCAAATTGTTAGGATGTATTGCTCACATTGTTCTGCATGGTAAATATCTACCGCGATGCTTATGATCTACTGTGTGGCTTATTGATATATTTAACATGAATCTTTGTATAACAAATAACTTTAAACAGCTCAGACAAGAGTTTCAAAGAAATATAACACTCCATACCATCCACCTATTGCCTGTTTGAAGTGTAAGTGCCACAAAGGTCATATAGTCCCTCCTATAATGAGAAATAAATGACCCCACAAATACATCTGTTCCTGTTCAGATGATGAAGCTTCTCTTCAATTGATCTACTTTTATCTTGAAGACCTTATAATCTATACGTCAAATTGTGAGATGCATAAACTTAAGGAAACACTGTTTGAAAGAATGAAATGCAAACTTCAGAGGTGGGGAGGCAGCAAAACAGTGACCATTTTTAACTCCAACCCTAAAAGAAGTTTAATTTGGATATGCATCAAGAGAATTTGTCATTAGAGAATTATGAATAATAAATATGAGAATTATGAAATGTGATGCTATTAACTTTGGTAAAATGAAAAAAGGGAGAGAGAGAGAAAGAGAGAGAGAGAGAGAGAGAGAGAGAGAGAGAGAGAGAGAGAGAGAAATAAAACGGTGAACTGGGTGCAATCAGCACCACCAAAGAAGTAGGTGGCAAAATATTATATTCTCCACACCTGTTACCATTTAGAAATGCAAAATACTGGAGCAAGAATACATACTGGAGGCAGATTCATACTTGAATAAACCAACAGGGTGCACATAGAATGGAAGCCTTGCATAGCAAACGGGAAGGAGAAAAGAGCAAAATATTCTTCTAAATTTTGTTCTCGAGTTGTTTCTTGCTGTATTATAAAGATTCTGTTTTCAAGCAGCTATTTTGTGGCTTTAGTAAAAAGAACAGCTCCACTTCGATGATGAACGAACGGCTTACAAATACAATAAATAAATTCTCAAGAGCCAAAGTGGTGCAAACATTACAGGTTTAAATGAAAGATTTGCAAAAAGCATGAAATCTTCAGAATAACATGTTTCCACGCTGCTGTAAGGAATAATTCAGCAGAATATGACTTCTCTAACCCTGTTTTCAAGATGCTTGCAGCTTCTTCATCCCAGACATGCAGACAATTCATTCAAGTCAATTGATTAACTGTGCGCGACTAAAGATCTACTTTGAGATTCAGTGAAAATACAAAGAGAGCACAAGGTTTGTGTGAATCCTTTTAACCTGGCTGCTCAGTGTTCCCATAACAGAAATCAAAGCTGAAAGAAATGAGAATGCAGAATTTTAGAAGAGCTCAGTTCTATTCAGAGGAGACTACAAGCCCAAGCTAGTAAATTGTCCTCATTTAGAGCAATAGGTCATCTGCCTGAGGAACTCCTCATGAGCCAGGAGCTGCTGCCCTAATACAATTCAGTGGCTCTCACTGGGTTTTGAGTGGTGGAAACTTGTCCTTTGTGCAGCAGTCTGTTTTACAGCTCCTGTGGTAATTCAGCAGGAGCCAAGAGAGATTGCTTTATACAAAGGCAAGATGATGGCCTATTAATCAGTAAGTCAGTACTGTCAAGGTGGAAGAGTGACAATTTTAAAGTTGTTAAAATAGCTCACCATAGCCAAGCCTTTTCTTTTGAAGAACAGAATCCAAATCACATGCTTTTTAAAAGCTTAAATAGATGAAAAATAGAAGAAAAATGTATTACAGTGAGATTTTCTTTTATGTAGAGAAAATCTGTCATAGGGAGAATTCTAGGATTAATTACAGAAATTTAGTTTGTAAAAAAACAACACAAATTAATTTCAGTGATGAAGTTCTTACTGACTGTAAGAACGCTCGTTAGACCAAACCACAAAAATGTACAGAAATTTAGTAGTAGCTGGCACATAATCAACGCTGCCACAATAGCCACTTCGAATGATCATTATTTAGGATAATTCTCATGCTCAAAACAAAACAGTACAAACCCAGTCAGGAGTTAGAAGCTTTGAATTTCAGCAAGGCTAATATGTAGTGAAGAATGTCATTACAATTCCTAATGCATTAGAATAACCCAAAGCTCACCATGTTGGCTTTCACTCCTCCACTATTCCCTTAGCTGGAGAGGTCAATTTTTTTTAGCAGCCTTTTCCAGTGTCCTTATGAACCAATGACTGCTCTAAATACATAACAACATTTTTGATGCTGCTCGTGAAACAGCAAATAGTAGGTTCCCCCAAGCCACGACAGCATCTGGAAGTCACATCAAAGGCAAACACTTACTGTTGTGGCTGGTGATACCCAGCATCATGACAGCAATGTTGATTTTCACCTCATTCCTTCAGGAGCTGCTGAGTGGATCAGGAAGAAAGAACATCACAGCTGGAAGTTGCCCCTTGCCGTGATGCCACTGGCTGTCTCTACAAGATTCAAAAATGTTACAAATCTTATTTAGACCACGTGAAAATATTTCAGCAGACAGATGGGGAGCTGTGCTGGATCTGCTTTTTTTTTTTTTCCAGTGAATCACTGAACTGAGTTCAGCCAACACGTGTTGTTCAGAGCTGACAGAAATGTTTCCAACTCTAACAGTGACAGCTCTTCCTAACAGTAAATCCCTAGATGTGAGGTAACAGAAAAGGGCCAAACAAACCAGAGACTTACATCTTGGCCTGGAGCTTCCAGGAGCATAACACACATCCCCATTGGTGTCTTACTGGAAATGTCACCTGATCTGTACCTCTCTATTGTATTCAAAATGGAGTGTTAAATGTCAAAAACTGTTACAGAGGATGGTACAAAAAACAGCCCAGTACCTCAGCCACTTTTGTTCTGTCTTGCTATTAAAGAAGGTGTAAGTGGCATGCATTTGCTGAGCTAGTGACAAAATAGATGATATCTCAGTAGTAACAGCTTGCAAGACTTCATCCATAGACGTCGCATATACTTTTCTCATCCTCAGATTAAAGCTAATTTTATCATGCATTATCTGATTTATTACTTATTCCTTATTGTTACTATTGTATCCATATACATTCAGTGCTCATTTTTGAGCTCTGAATACATTTTACCTTTCTGTACTCCCTAGATTTCCAACCTGTAAATTAAAAAGTAATACAACAGCTATTCATTCCACTCTGAAGAAATTAAAGTTGTAGCATTATGACTGCAATTATTAATGAATCAATTTCCCCAAATTACCTTTCTATTATGTACATAAAAAAAAAAAGCAAATAACAGTGTAACAAATGGTGAAACAAATGGTGAGCAGAGCGTGGCCAGCATTTTATTCTGATTATTAGAAATACTGAAGAACAGTTATTTATCAAGCCAGAAAAGAAGCACTAAGCTGGAATAGAAACTATCTTAATGTTTGCAAGAGAAGCAAAGAGCAACTTCTACTGCTATTACAAACAAATTTTGATTTCAACATAGTCCCCAGAAATGAAGGAAAACTTCATTTAAAGGGCTGCAGTCAGGATAAGAAGCAATTGCCTCTAAAGTTGCACTGGCTGCAGAGACTGGCTGTTGGTTTCCCTATTGGAAGCTACCAAATGACTTCATTACATTATATTCTATCATAACTGCTTTCTCAGGAAGGTGACTTATTGTCTGCAGTGAAATGACAGATAGTTAATCATCGGTAATATTTCGTGTTTGATATTTTCTATACACCAGTGCACTGCACAGTCATTAGTTTATTATAATGACTGAATTGATTTGAGTACATATGATGATTTATTATAATCTTTTTAAAAGTGTTCAGACTGTATTTTAACTGTTTCGCTTTCTGTTGCCACTACCTTCAGCTAGTTAGCACTCCTGTTTTGTTTTTTATACAACTGACTGAAGGTGAAATATATCACCACCAGAAAACTTCATGAAAGATTCGATACCCACAAGATTGAAGTTGAAATGCTTTGGGCTAAATTCAGACCTGATGGAATTTAACTGGAGAAGTGAGATTGCACCATTTGTTTCAAATCTGAATTTGCCTTTCAGTATCAAACTATGCTGCTGCTCTTGACTCTTTCTACAGAAGAGCTCCACTGCCTGGGTAAAATTGAGCTCAATGCAAAAGGTCTACACAAAGTCTACGAATTAATCATAGACTTTGCACGACGCAAAACAGAACTATGTCCTAAACAATCTTCTAGTTGTCTTTTATAGAAAATGTCTCCCTTTCTGCACATTCATAGGCATGCCCTTCTGAAAAGTAAAAAATTGTTCATGTTAATTTCTGTAGCTAGACAATCTCAGACCAAGGGAATCAAACTAAATACTCAAACATCCAAGTTCAGCATTTGACAGATGAATAAAAGGAAAGTTTTACCTATACTTTTAATAGCTATCTTGTAAGCAGAATTATGAACTCTGCAGGCGTGGATAGCAAATGCTTCACAGCTAAAGATATTTTATATATCTTTCTCATTTCCACTTGCACCTGTGTTACCAAATACACTGCTGATCCCTAAGGAAACACGATCAAAGACTAAACAAGGATTTTGCATCTTACCTTCAGACATTCCATGTCATTTTCTCAAACACCTCTTGTAACTGTACGTATTTTGTATTACTTGTCCTTTCAGAAATAAGTATGAATAGACGGTTTCTATGATTCCACTATATTGCCTTGAGGATTGGCTTCTTTTTTCCTGATGCCTTTTACATTGGAAAGACAAATAGTAAGTATAATATAAACTCAGTCTATTGCATTCAAATTTCTGCCCTTTCCTGCTCCACTCTCCCTTGGGCAATTTTGCTCAGTCAAGGCACCTTGTACAGTCAGTCTCACAATCCAATCTTACAATGCAAGATTGTCTAGCTTGGAGAAGTCTCCTCCAACGAGGGAGACCTCATTGTGGCCTTCCAGAACTTGAAGGGAGCATGCAAACAAGAGGAGATATAACTATTACAAGGGTGGATAGTGATAGAACAAGGGGGAATGGTTTTGAAGTGAGACAGGAGAGGTTTAGGTTAGATATCAGGAGGAAGTTTTTCACACAGAGGGTGTGAAGTGCTAGAACAGGTTGCCCAAGGAGGTTGTGGATGTAAATTTTTTCACTCCCAGCGTCAGTGCTCAGATGCCTCACATAAACATAAGGATAATTGTTCCTGAGGTCCAAGAGACAGATTGCACAAACTAATACATGAAAACAGAAACATAAATCACAGACAAGAAATCGTGTGCAATTTCTCTGAATAAATAGAAAGGTAAAATTATATTAGAAAGGTAAAAATACCTTCTTCAGTTTAGTAATTATCAAATATTTACATGTAAACATGCCCTTTCTTGTCTTATTCACTAGCAGAGAAATTCAGACATGAACACTTCTAGAGTTTCATATTGAAATTCTGTTTTCTGTTAAACCTCTGTCCTTCCCAGTAAGAAAAAAATATGTAAGTAAAAGAAGTAAGCAGATAGTGCAGGAAGACAATCGCCTTTCAAATTAATTCCTCCTTGAAATTTCCATCTGTTTATCCTCTCCAGAATTACTGCAACTGGAACCTTGTTGTTGTTTCTTGTGTATTTGTGAGGTGTGAGAACAATTGTTAAGTATGTGGAGCAGGATGCTGCTACTCACAAACAGGCTTGTAATAGAAAGAGTTGGCAAAAAAATAACCTGACATTATCTTCTGCATATCTTGTTCTTGTTGAACACTGATGGTATCAGATTGTAATGAACAAGGATCTGCCCACACATCCTAAGGGAATGTTGTAAAGGTCAACTGGAAAATAAATTCAAGTAAGCCCTGCAGAACTAGAGCAACATTTAGAACATTTTTTCAGATTAAGCAGGAAGGAAGTTTTCTGGATTTGTTTCTACTTATTTCTTGCCATCAAAAACACTGGTATTTTATGAGATAAAATATTCCTTGCTGAGATAGCAAGAAAGAAGATAGCTCTGAAGGATTTCAGAAGCCAAACTGCTCAAACTGAAAGGGTTACATTTCCCTACTTACCCCCCAAAATTAGAAATACTGCTTCCTAACTGCAGATCTTTGAATGTGGTTTACAAGGCAAATAATGTAAAAACACAGCACAAGTAGAATATGAAAAGAAATAAATCCAGAAACAGCCTGTACAGTAAAAATATAGTAGATGTTTGGCTAAGAGATCATCATGACAGTAACATTAAGATAACACTGGGGAAAAAAATGCATCTCATTTGATCTAGTCCGTTTATGATTTGTGCTAGCAGAATAGCATAGACTTATTGCCATTTTACCAAAACATATATTTGAACACATCAACAGATCTTACGCATCAGCTGTTGCTGTGGAATTGCCAGATGGTGGCCTGAACCAATGTTTGAGCAGCAGATGAGAAGGAGTGGCTAACTCAAGGGGCTCAGGTGCAAGCAAAGCACCTGAACGACAGGAACGTGTGGAGCCTGGATCCACTCCTCCTTACCTTCACTTAAAGGTTAGAAGCCAAATGAGTAGCATCTCTCTGGACGGAGATTGTATTTCTCTTGAGCTGTCACAAGTTGTTGGAAGGGGGTGAACCGATTTTCCCTTCTGATTATCTGTTACTGCTCAACAGTGCTTGTATCTTGCTCAAAGACCCTGTCATCATCATCTTTTGCCATAAAGATGTATATCATGTCAAAATTGATTTCTGATACCAAGAAGTTATTTTAGAAAAATTACAGCCATCTTTAAAACTGAATAATGATTATTGGCTGTAATATTAAAAAAATAATAGATCATTTTCGATTAACCTAAACACAGCACAGCAAGACTGGTTGAGAGCCCTAACATATATCAGCAAGATATAAAAAAAACCCTCAAAAATATTGGGTGCTCTACCTGCATTGTTCAGATTCTTTTTTTTTTTAATTCCATCTTCCTTACAGCTGCATGAGTCAAACCATTGCAAAAACAGTGTATTATTAGTTCACATAACCTACACTGCATCTGTCAATCCTTTTTTCTTCAAGCTAATTCCACTAATCCCATAAATTTTAGCTTTCTTCCAGTCAGACTTTATGCAGATAGTTTCCAAAGTTCATGTTCCCTGCGCTTCTCCTTCTATTAATTTGACACAGCTCCAACATGCATTGATCTCGTCTCCCTCTGTCTAATGACTAGGATCATTAGTAATTTTTCTAGTTGTGCTCTTTCTCATTCAGGTACAAAGGCATTCTTTCTGGTCTGGCCTTAGAAATCTGAGTTTGAATGCCTTCACACTAGGTAGAGTATTGATCCTCTGCTGCTCACTATTTCAATTTGCATTCTAAGTTCTGGGTTTGTAAGTAAAAGAGAAAGTGGTTAAGAATAAGCCATTTTTACAAGATAGCCATGATCTTCCCTTTCAGCTTCTTTCTCCCATCTATCTTTGCTTCAGTCTGTTTCAGAAGGAGAAAGATGGGGTTTGTGTGGACTACGATGTGAGCATGACTGCCTATAGACTTCCTCCTAAATCACCAAAGAGCTAGATTTAAGACATACCTCTTCATGCAGCGTTTTGTATTTACTATTAAAACATAGTTTAGTTTTGGGATATCAAAGACAACCTCAGCACTGTTAACTCACTGCGTCATGAAAAATCCAAGCTATCTGCGAAGAAGTATAATTTGGAGGAATTGTGTGCTGAGAGCAGAAAACTCACATCTGCTGTCTCTATCAATACTAATGTTGAAGTCTTGTTTACTGATAAGTAGACTTATATCAAGTTAGTAAATGTCATCTGCAAGTAAAATGGACAACAAAATTAACATGGTTTACTAACAGTACTTTACCTTCAAATTTCTTTCAGAAGAAAGAGAAAGCTAAGATGAAGCATGTTGAAGCAAAGCCTACACAACACACTTCACGTGATAATTACCCTTTAAGTGGTGAGGTATCTCAGCTCTAACCCAGAACAGAAGTTCCAAAAGATAAATTAAATCCTGTAGTGAACTTGCAAAATCCTTGTATGATTGCGTTCAAAAATGCAAGGAAAAAAATGATTTCATTAAGGCAAAAAGAGCCAATTTCTACTGGCAGAGAGTCAGAAACTAAAGGCCTTAAAAATGCAAATAGGAATAAAATGTAGCAAGTATAATTCTACTTTGTTATCTATTTGTTGCCATTATGCAATATCCTAAATTGAACGAATTAAAAGCGAAAGATGAGCACGTAAGGTTTAACAAGATTTCAAGAAAAGAATGAGGGCTGAAATTATGGGCATGCCAAAACTATAAAATGTGCAGGTTTCTGCAATATTAGAGTGAACAAGACAATTCTTTGTTTAATAGAATTTTCCCTTTCTGTAATTACTTCAGTGTCTGTGTGCACAGAGAATACTGCTAGTAAACAATTATTATTTTGCTCTTTTTCTTCTTTACAGTTTATAGTTGCTTGACTGCTTGTACTGGTGCTCAGTGCTGAACTATTTCCTGTGTCATGCTGGGTGGAACATTCTTTTATGCACTTACATGAGCAAATAAAAGTCCAAGTCTTTTTTTACCTATTAGTTCGAGTATTTTCACTACATATAAATCAACAACTTTCACTAGATTAAGAGGTGAAGAGATTTTGACTTGCTTAATTCTGCTTATTAACAACGAATCTTTTTGAAGTGTTGACTGTAGCATGATTATTTTCTACTAAATCTTAGTGCACTTCAATGCACTCTTAAATATACTTCATTTTAGTATTGAATAAAATGATAGTGCTAACATTTGCATCCTGGTTTAAGTACAAACACTGACAGGTTCCTACTGCATTTGTAAAGAGAACTATATTTCACATAGATCATATTTGATTTGATAAAGTGGCCTTATTTAGCCTGCACTCTCAAGTAACCACTAATTCTCATTACTGTACCTTGTAGCCTGCACAACTCAGCTCTTGTCATTCTTATTCAAATAAGAAGCTGTTGTTAGGAGGCTGTTTTTTTGACTCTATTCCTAATTTACCTCTGCTTACGAAGTGAGAAGAATGAAAGAACAGAGGAAAACTGGAAAATGAGAACAAGGTAGGTTCATTGCCAATAGCTTACTGTGCAACACAATTTTTGAACAATTTGCAAAATCATTCTGCCCCTAGAAGCGAAACAAGGATTCAAATTTCATTTCTGTTGAAGAATGAATGTAGATGTTTATAGTACAGGTAGCTGTTAAGCTTTTGCATGATCTTTTGTGGATACTCAAGATAGGCAACACACTAACAAGCTGCTTTGGAATTTGCTCTGAGACTGAATACAAAACAAAGTGCATTTCTTCAATATTTAAATTGCTGCCAGCCCTTTTCCATTCTTATGTCCCTAAGGACAATTTCCCAGGGTGAATATCTGATTCAGAAATTCCTTAAACAGATAGATGTTCACTCTCTTAAGTTCAAGCTCCTGGCTTTGCTTTTTTACGAGGCCCATATTCCTCAAGATCATAAATTCAACCACTGCACTGGAGAAAAGAAGGCTACGGGGTGACTTCATTAAAGCCTTTCAGTACCTAAAGAGAACCTACAAACAAGAGGGGAATCAACTCTTTGAAAGAGTAGTTAACAGCAGGACAAGGGGAAATGGTTTGAAGTTGAGGGAGGGAAGATCTAGGTTGGACGTCAGGGGGAAGTTCTTTGCTATGAGAGTGGTGAGGTGCTGGAACAGCTGCCCAGAGAGGCTGTCGATGCCCCGTCCATTCCTGGAGGTGTTCAAGGCCAGGTTGGATGGGGCT